GAGCTGATCGTTGCCGATGTTGTCTTCAGTTCCATTCTTACCGATGACATAAAGCTTGAGTTATGGTCATTCATACGCAGCGTTGAGAGGTTGACATAATAAACCATAATCTAACAAAACATGTGAAGTAAATAGAAAGGCGGGTTGGAAGGAAATATCAGTTTGAGTGTAAACGGGTTTGACTAAATGCAACTCGATTGTAAGCCTGTTTGTAGAGGAGCTTAAGTCCAGATTTACAAAAGTCGAATGATCCTGGAAGTCAAAGTGTCGTTCCGTAAAAACGTTTAGCTGTAGTGCATCAAACATCAATTTTCAGCGCATTATGAATTCCCTGCAAGATAAGTAGTAGAGCGTTGGTCCATTGCAATACGTTTGCAACTGAAAGTGAGGTTGTAGTTACTAACCACACAATATTTGAAGCCGAGCATATAATTATTCAAAGGATTTACATTCAACGTGTAACACTAAGAGAAGGTCAACAATGGTGAACACGACAACAATCAATCTAAACGGTATGGCTCGGCCATACACTCACCGTTTGTGGTAGTTTACGAAGGGAAGCTAAAGTTTGCCACTCATACTCTGATAAAGGTGTGAGCTGTTGTTTCAACAGCAATTTATTTGGTAGGCACCACCTTTGACAACTATGTAAAACGGTTCGCGCACACTGAGAAACAAGAGTACTTGTTCGATTCTTTTAAAGACGCGGTTGAAGCAGGAATCAAGGGTTATGAGTGAGACTAAGGGACATTTGTTATGACTGGTCGCTGTAGAGTTTTGTCAGCTTGAATATCAACGTTCACATCCCTTTATTCTTTTCATATACCAACCCTTAATAGTCGTTATGACATGAGCTTGATGAATGCTCAGACCATTGAACGATTTGGTCCGTGCAATTAGTGATAATGTTGCAATGATAATCTTTCGGCACAATTGCATGGACCCTACAAGCAAATGTGTCGCAAAGTAAGGCTCTCACACCTAATTCCGTTCGCTTGATACGTAATTTTAGAGTTTATGGTGATAACTCATGCTGGAGACCGATGTTTTCTTTTTGAAGTTGGGCAATTTTGAAAAGTTCGATTTTCTTGGAAACTGTTCAAAGAATTTATGTGAGACAAATCGTCTGAAACTAAATTTTTTGCCCCAGAAATATGCTGTATAACTGAATTAAACTACGAGGGTAGTCCAGTTATTTGGATTTTCGATCAGAATGATTTTCCGTAAACGAGTTAAGGTCAAAATATAAGGTTTATGGGTAATGAACAAAGAGAATTCAGGACCTTCCACGGCGTATTGAAAGTGCCGTACTGCGCAACACATATTTAGCAATTCTGTGGTACGTTTTCTCCTTACTTCGATGAGATGTCTTGCAGCCATCTCGAAAAGTTTGCCGATTTTCGATTACACGTTGTCGTAAGACTCCCCGATTTGCTGAGCCGGATGCATCTATGACGATACTAGTGAGTGCTTGGGCAACGTAGTGCGTAAGCATATTTGGATTGGCAACACAGGCCTCCACTTTATGGGATGCTTTTTGGGCTTTTCCCTCTAATTCGATTAGTTTTGCGGCTACAAGAAGTTGGCCTGTTAATAGCCTCGTAACCTGAAGGCAGGTATAATGCATCGATAGAAGCTTGGCAGTACACAGAGTCTATTCACTTGCTTGATCGGAGTCAGTTTTAGATAATCGAACACGAAGGGCGAATACCTTGAGCTCTAATAGTAAACTTGAAAAAGTTAGGTAAGTCGGTTCCAGTTTAATATTTCTGAATGTTCCCAGTAATACTAGATTTTCGAACTTAATAAAAAGTGAGGTCCAGATGCTGGGGATAGGATTCTCTGTCTGTGCCTGGTCACTAACATATACGTGCGAAACTTCGAGTTTGGGTCATAGGGATTAGTTCATATGCTTTAACCGAGCAGACTTTCGAAAAAGCGGTCAAACCTTTCAAGGTAGCTGTCAGATCGTGAATGTGTGATAGCGAGCAACAATTGAGAGTGGTTTTCACATTCAGTCGCCAGTAATAAACACTTAGATGACAACCATTGCTACCAGTTTTAATGACTATGTGCAAAGGAGATGCCCATGGGTTGTTTGATGGACATATAGTTCCCGAATTTACTGTATGCTCGCTTTCCTCCCCAACAAAACTCAACTTTCCAGGAGCTAGTCAGAGAGCTTTTAAAAATAAAGGCGGGCGCATTGTCTTGATGTGATGTAACATGATGTTTATTACATGCGATCGTGTTCTGTAAAGTTCGGAACACTTGTTGAGTGTCGGTTGGATACATAGCCTAATTATAATATTAATCGTTATCAGGCATGACGTACAATCAGAAAATGCAACTTTATAGTAGCAGGTCTGTCAATGATTACCAGTGACACGTCCGCAACAACAAAACTTCAGTATGTGTTTCGTGCTATTGATAGAAGAAACCAGACTAGTGGTGAACAGGTCTTTATTTTGATCTTCGCGCAGTCATAGTGGAGTGTGGGATTATCTGTTCAAACAAACAAAGCCTCTGAGCATTCAATATACGATCTAGGAAATTTAACGCCTATGCAAAATAAGGAAGTGAATGAATACTTGATTTCTATTGTTTTGACATATGTTCAGTTGTTTGAGGTCAACTCTTGACCATTCAACCTAAGTTGTTGCAGGTGAACTTGCGAAAACCCACGTTTTGGTAAACGCACGTTCTGTTGTAAGTAGTGGTAGGTTTTTCGTTTGTCACCTGTAAGTCGGAAACCAAATCTTTTAAATGATAATTGATAACCGCGGGAAGGACACTAACTTCTGCACCATTATCAGCTAGATAACGTACTCGTCATCACACTGTGGTGTATGTTACTTATGTCTGTCGACATAATTAGTATGAAACACCAATCGAGAGTGGAAAATGTGGCAGGAGAGTGCTAAAAAGACCGATTCGAACAAAATAGAGTAGGAATCATGCAGAATGTGCAAGGCGAATGATGGAAATTTGCAAATGAAGTATTCGATTTATGGTTCTTCTACAACATCAGTGATCGATAGAAGATAGCTATATTCACCGTCTATGGTTAACTTTAAAGTGTTTCGGAGGGATTCTCGCGGAAACAATTGTGTTTGACAGTAGGTTTGAAGCTAGGAAAACTTCAGAACCTCCTGAAATTTCTGAGAAACATGCAGTAGGTGCCGTGGCACTAACAACATATATGATCATATGCCTCTTGCGGTTTAGTAGGTTTGGGTTGTCAATCTAAGGTTCAGTGGATGAGCAAGAGTACTGCATAGATTTGTAATTTTGCTTAGTGTTGACTGACGCTTTATTTGGTGGAACAAACTTGGTGTTGTTCCCGAACTTGAAGAACTGCCGAATTGGGAGTGACGTTGTTTGTCTCCATGTTACACTCTCCCGAGTTTAGGTAGATCAAAAGGCGGTAATGGCCAGTGAATTCTTCATAATAATGTGGCATATATCCTAAAAGATGTGGAAAAGGTACTGTCAAATAAATGTTTGTAAGAACGAAACCACATGTACTTGACCAATATTTCTCCTAGGGTGTACAGACACTTGATATTACAATGAAAAATAATCATTTAAGCAAGCGAACAAGATTCTACCTAAATAAAATGTATCAGCTTATTCATTTTGCTCTAAAACTCAGCAACCTACTACAAAATAATAAGTATACATGAAATGCGAAGCAACGTTCTTTAGACAAACAGGGAGCAAGTGTTAACGATATATAACAGAAGCAATCAGCTTACAAAGCAACTAATGAAGTATGGTAACTAAGTATGGAGATGGCCGTAGCAACATTAAATAGAACAAACATAAAACAATTTCAAAGTTGCCAAGGTATACTCAGTTTCAGGACCAGTAGATATTGAAACAAATGATAACTAAAAACAAATCAGCAAATAGGGACTCACTATATGAAAAGGATGAGGATAGAAAAACTATTACTCATAAGGAGAAATCAACATTGCCATATGGAGGGGATTTTCACATAGTCAAATACATATGTACAAGAGTTTGTATCATTTATGTCTAGATCGAAACGAGTGCATTTTGCTACTAGAATAATGATCTTAACCCAAGATTTTGGACTCCCCATGATATGACTATCTAATCTATCAAACCTTACGCGGAATTCAATTCATTATCTATACTGACTCATCAAGTCGCAATAGCCACCGGTCGACAGACAGAGCCAGTCCATCAACAACAATATTTTCGAACGCGTCAAGAATCTTCTAAACTTGCTGAGGAAGCCCAGATGAAAAGAGTTTCCCAAAAGACCTTTACCGGAAATTTAATGGCCAATATCATCTCGTATTCCTTACAGATTCATGTTCCATCTAGATATTGTTGTACAGTTTAACTAACCTTTGTCCGTTGATTAAGTCTCCACATGTAGTGCCTTCACTACCGTTAGAAATTAAGGTCTTGAGTAACTCACACACACCGTCTTTCCATTCCAGAAACTGGGAACCAATAGAACCAGAAGTCACGAATGGGGGCTGCGAAAAAATATTTGGGGAATTTTTGATGCATCCAAAAGCATATGGTTTTAACAGACTAGTTGTTTTGAAAGATGCACACCACGGTGTACTCAGATGCCATCCGGTAAATGCACTTATCCAAGCGTATCCAATATGAGATCAGCATCAGTCTCGAAGACTTACAGAATTGCTTATTTTGGAGGATTGTTTACCACTACAAGAACAGTAACGTTTAAAATTATTTAACTTACTCTTCTTATCAAGATCATCAGGACCGTGGAAAAATTAAAGCGTCCCTTCACGAAGATAAAACTTCCAAATATCATTACACGTCGTTTTGAACCTTAAGAACCCAACGGATTATCTCCTTTCTATACATATATGTGAAGAGAATTACTTACTTTACAAAAGTGGCAGCATAATGTTAATCTTCAAGTACTTCACATTAAACGCGAGGTTTTGTGTAATCTATCTAGGGGATATAACTTACCAAGTACATGAAATACATTTATTGTAATTTGAAATTGAGAGGCCAGTCAAAGAAACCCGCGGACTTTGCGTTTCCGATGTTACTTGTAGATTTCCTGAGTGTTATCTCAGGAAGTGTGTTTCTTCTTGGAATAGTTTCGACAGAATCAAGGACCTATGTAGTGGTAAAGTCAAGTGATTTTTGTTATTCCGTGTCCGAAATCATTCTGTGATATTAGACCAATGTTTAGTCTTATAAGATGACAAGTATTAGCTTGTAATATCGTTTAATGTGAATGTCAATGGCTTTTTCAATTAATTAAAAGAATTAAGTTGCAGGAATTTCACGTTTCAGAATGGGGTCTGATCTTACTTATTCGATTGTATATACAATCGAATAAATAAGATCAGATCTTCGTACTTCATATGAAGTACTAAAACTACAAGGGCTGACTAGCCACTATTAGTTTAGTAGATGTTATGTCAAATAAATAAATGGATTAATAGAATAGGTATCAGGATCAGTAGTCTTCATTTCTGGTTGGTGGTGTTATTTATCCAGCTCGGTCGTCACCATATTACGCTGCACTGTATTAACTCGATTTGTCAGACTTCATTAGTGGGACAAGATGAAACTAACCAGATGGATAGGATATTATTTAATTATTGATAATAATAAAAAATAATTACTGTTGATAATACGGTCCATGGAGGAATATAAATGTATATGTACAGAACTCATCCATGTCGTCCTGTATGGAAACTAACGATCCATTAGCTTGTACTATCACCATTTAACGGTGTCTTAACATTTGCCAGTGACTCAGTTGTCATGGTAAAATGTGCTAAAGACTGTTCAGCAGATAATTGGCTGTGGTCAAAACCACATCTTTATTGAGGATGCTGAGAAATGTCACTCGTTTTAACTTGGGGATCCATTTATGGACCAATAATATGCGTATATTTTTTATCGTATAATTGTTAAATAACTAGACGATTCATATTCACGTTCCTCTATGAGCTTTATTTTGACTTATGAACTATTATTATACAATTTACCATTCTTGAATTATGCCGTCTATTAATTACTACCTCCCACATTCACAGCCACATCTGGCCAAATCTTGTGTAAATGTTGTTTCCTAATTTGTGGTACGATGTGGTGTTTAGTTTGTATATAAACCCAGTATGCTGGAAATAAATTATTCATACCACAGAGGTTGAGATTTGTGTTCTGGACTTAACAGGCCGGGTTAGGCGGAAAGCAGGACCAATCAGTCAGTCAGTCAGTAACAACGTGGAACCTCGTACGTACGTACATCAGTTCGAGTTGCCATACCACATTAGCACAGAGATTCAGTTATCGATTCAAATCCCATAGTGGTAGAGGTACTGAAAGTATAAGTAGAGATAGGGGACATGAAGGTTTGATGATGTTATTAAAGGAGTATAGTCCAGTGAAATAAATTGGGAAAGAAAATAAAGGACATGAAGGATTCAGAAGATTAGAGTTTGAGAGAACACAAAGAGTGGATGCACCTGCGCCATTGCAAACGATTTTGAGCCATGTCATTCAAGGTCTCTAACCATCGGTTGCTATCGTCTCGCGGACCCCAACCAGGTAGTCTACACCTACCAGCATGACTCAGTCCACTTGTCAGTGACTTCATGAATTTGTGCCATGTTTTGGTCTGGCCGCCCCTAACTTTCTTCCAACCTACTCCTACACCATAAAACATAGCACGTCGGGGCAGTCGGTGGTCGGGCATGCGCAACACATGTCCCAGCCATCTCAACTGATTAAGTTTCACTACTTCCTCGATTGATTTGCCATCCTTACCTAGTACCCGTTTTCCAACAACTGAGTTGCTTATTCGGTGGTCCCAGGATATACGAGCGATGTTTCGAAGACACCTATGGTCAAATACTAGTAACCTACGAATATCCTCTACTCTTACTGGCCATGTTTTACTGCCATAAAGTAGGACGGAACGAACTGCTGCGCAGTAAACACGTCCTTTGGTTGATAGACGGATATCGCCTACGCCACAAATGATGCAAGTTGGCAAAAGCTAGTCGAGCCTTCTGTATCCGTGCTGAGATTTCGTCACACACCAGACCACAAGGGCTGATGAGACCAATCAGGACTCTAGACTACCCGTACGTGTTTTATGCGTCCTTGGTCCTATCGCTAATTCACTGCTCCCTAGTTGGCGGTCACAAGTATAACAGGTGTTGTTCATATTTAGGAGATTGTTTCTTATACTGATCTTGCTGAACTTCAACACTAATCTAGTATGTGTGACTTTAATGAAAACCTGAATTCAATAAACACCACAATAGATTGTGTATGTAATTTCCAGGCTAGGTAGTAATTTTAAGAGCTGTTTACTTGGCGATGCTAATATGTATTTGAATGTATTTCATGTGGAAAATATCATTTCAAGAGCTGTGAAATGCACAAATCACAGTAAATAAATATCTTGGCTCTTTTTGTTTCCCCAAAACAAGTAATACGAAACGTTCCTAAAGCTTATCACAATATAACATGTAAGGAAGTTCTTGGGAACAAAGACTAAGGTGATAGTGGTGGAAAGGAAGAAAGTAGAAGTTACAAAAAGACATGTGAAATGGATTATGCCCTTGTTTCAGTTGAGTAGTTACACGTATAGTGGTAAAAATATGTGCTGCAAAACCTTCAACTTTTCTTCAGAATGACTGATATGTATGAACTAAATTAAAACTTTTGATTATCTCTTGGACCATTTTGTGGTCTGCTCCATTACTTACAGTTTTGTCTTTTTTTTAGCGTAATCTACCTTTTGATGGAGTTGTAGATAGTTTCTCAGATGCTGTTAGCCTATTTGGGCCCGAAGTTTTCCACAGAGATGTGAGTTTTTGTCGTGTATATTTATTCCATTTTAAGGGTTACTTAGTGATCGCCAGCCCAATTAACGGATGTTCGTTAATTCAGCCTCCACCCATTAATATTAGCTCAGGAGAATTTAACAAGAATTCATCTGTATCTTTTGTCTCTTATTTTGCTTTAATTCAACGCGGTGGATGTGATTTTGATTTAAAGGTGTTGAATGCTCAGAAGAAAGGCTATACTGGAGTTATAGTTTTTAACACAATAAATGACAAAATATTTCCTATGAACGGCGGGGAACGTCAGTCCATTATATTGAAGTTAACTTTTTGATGATAATTTTCCTTACAGGTGCCAGTCAAATTTTAATTCCGTCTGTTATGGTAGATAAACGTGCTGGGTTAAAATTAATGAATTATTCTGTCAATAGTTCTATTAATGGCTCAAAAGAGTAAGTGCAAATTATCATTATAAAGTTTTCCATTTAATGATAAACATTTTCACATATAAATCTGCCTAATTATGTGTACAAGAGCTAACATTATCCCAATACAGACATTCAAGGCTAAAGTTTGATCTATCTTTGTCGGTGTATGTACATCCCGAAATAATGGCCCTCCACAGCCCTTTTTGTTTTACAAGTTTTTAACATATTTGGATTGTGTTTAGCAACAGAATCCACGGTGTCAGTTTTTTCCTATTTAACCAAGATTCAGTTATGAATATCAACAATCGAATGTTATAAACTATTACGAATAAAGATTCATACTCTGTAGACAAGTTAATGGCTATTCAGACTTATCAAGGGAACCGATATTAAAAATTTGGGAGTTAGTGAAAACATTTCAGAAAAAGATAAGACAATAATCCACTGTCAATCCAGGAGACTGGAGCAATTACCAGAACACTTTGAAGAACGGTGTAACTATTCTCCACCTACCCTTCATTTATCTACTTCTACCGGACAACCTGAATGGAATGTCAATACGAGCCCCCCGACTCTTAAAGGCGTAGAAAAAACTATGGCTAGTCTCAATGTGAGGGGAGGCAGCAGGTCCTAATGGACTAGCACCGGGGATCTTTGAGGACAATGGTCCAGTTTTGGCTTTTAGAATGTCTGGAATCTTAACTAGAGTTTGAGAACTAGACGTAATTTTATTTTACTGGTTTCGATCGCTAGTCGTCCCGGTTTGTAAGGAAAAGAAAGAATTTCCTCTTATTATGATCACAAAGGAATCAGTTTGGCCAACGTAGTATCTAAAATATTAGCCTTAGTAGTCATCCAACGCTTAACTAGGTCTCCTGAAGAGTGAACTCGAGAGAGAAGCAAGCTGGTTTCAGACCTGAACTTGGATGTATAGACAAAATATTCGCCCTTGGTTAGGTTTTAGGAAATAGAAATATCTGCTAATTCCTAACCGCAGTTGTATTTCTTGACTTTCAGGCAGCGTTTGACTCTATAGATCAATTGGTTTTATAACACAGTTTACCATTGAAATGCGTACTAGACAAGTACGTTAACCTTGTACAGGCTTTTTACTCGAATACTACTGGTCGAATCAAAGTTTATAGCGAACTGTCATCGGATTTGTTAACTTCAAATCGCTTTCGTCAGGGTTTGTCCGCTTTCTCTGTTTTTACTTAACTTCGCCATAGATATTCTTTTACTGATAACATCGTCTGATATTTTAGAAATTGTTCCTCTGCTAGGAGTTCTTTTTGACTTAAAATGTGCAGGTTAGTTTGGTTTGACGAACATACTGACAAAGTGCAGTCTTCTGACCACCTTAAGCAATAATCCAAATGTTTGGGATGTTTCTGTCTATTTAAATTCCAAATATTGGTTACCTCACTCATCTTAAAAGATTCATCATTCCTGGTGCGTTGGTGTCTGATGAACTTTCGCTACCAATTCAGGAAGCTTTGTTGGCTCTTTCCATACTTGTGTCACTTGTTGCGTAGGCGAGATTTCCATCTACCGATTAAAGTATGAGTTCACTGTCCAGCAGTTCGCTCTGTCTTACTTTATGGCTATGAAATAGAATTTAAAAATAGAAGGCATTCGTAGATTACTAATATTCGATCATAGGTATCTTAGAAACATAAGTCGTGTAAATAGGGAATACCGAGTAAACAATTCTGGGGTTACGTGCTTGGTACTAGATGAGTATGGCAAATTGATTCACGAGATATTGAGTCTTCATCGACTGGAATGGTTAGGGAATGTATTACGCATATCCATTTATCGACTACCTCGACGCACGATGATTGGTGTAGAAGGGTGTTTGAAGAAAACTAGAGATTCCCAAACCAAGACATAGCATCAGTCCATGAAGGGAGTGAATGTTGGATTAAGCCATGTAGTTAGATGGAGACTACCTTGTTGGAGTACCCGTGATTATCGCAACCAATATTTAAAAGCTTTGAATGACATAGTTCGAAATCATTGGCAATGGTTCAGGTATATTCACTCTTTTTCTTCTTTTGGACCCTAAGTTTTTAAGTTCCTCATATATTTTTTCCATCGTTTCACTAATTTATCTTTTTTCGAGTTGTATCATAGATGCCTAATATTTTCTATTACCATTAATACTATTACTACCTCTACTACTCTTGGATTTGTCCTAGTAATTTCATCTTACTGTGCTAATGGGGTATGGCAACTTGAATCGATATACATATGTATCAGGTGCTACGTTGTGCTTGATTGGGGTCGGAAACCAGGTTATCAAAAAGAAGAGTCAGCAAACGAATTCTCACTTCTCAATAAGCTGATCAAAAACAAGAAATCATATGCGAAACCAAACCTCATAAATCAAATGTTTAGTTATCTATCTGATGGCACACAACAACATCTGTTTACGTAAATTAATTAGAAGAGCCAAAACTGAATACAGGATTCTCATTGCACGTCAAAATGATCAGAGCCGTTCTCTAACCGTTTTCCTTAAAAATAACTAAATGATTTAGCGGATACGAAGTAATTAGAAAAATTACTTTTTGAAGGTGTTAATGATGAAGATAAAGCTCCACAGTTTAACCATCTATTTTGAACGATATACACCACCACTAAATATCCCTTTTATTTTATACAAAATTAAGCAAGTAGTAGTAAATAAACTTTTAATCTTACATTACTTTTTTTCGGGTGTTCACAATATTTAACTTCACTTGAAAATGTAATAAAAAGCGTAGAATGTGTTTCTAAAGCTTGTCATTGATTTTCTGCTTTAATGCTTTTGAAATGCATTGATAACATTTTAAACGTCAAGTAAGGCTTTCAAAAGCACAACTGTTTTTATCTAACCCCATTAAGTTACTTGCCAGATACCTATCACATTTTAATTCAGTCCAGACCAATTGTGTAATAGTTTTGGAGAATAAAAGATTTTCATGTATCGAATTCATTCCTACTCATCATTAATTGGACCTAGTTAAATATTAGCTATTGGTAATTATCGTTTAAAAAGTCATATATTGAACTTCACTCATTCTGTTCCTACCAACATACTTGAAAACACTAGACATCCACTTACTGTTTGTTCCAGGCTATATTACACTTATTCGTTGACTATTGTGTTTGGCTTTACTTTAAAGCTAACAGCGAAGTAACTTTCTAAATTCCATTTTTTCCCACATTAAAAGAATGCTGTTTTAATACGTGAGGGTTTCCATCCTCCCACACTAAAACCATGATGAACTATCTGCTTATAGAAAATATTCGTTTCTCTCCGACTAACATTGAAATGACTGGTATTATTATTATTATTATTATTATTATTATTTACTACGTCATTTATTCACTATCTCCTATTTCTACCTTTTGTATCCGTTTCGACTCAGACAGGAGCTCGCCTATGGTGAAAATTCAGCTTTATCTAAACGTTCTCGAGTCACTGCCTGGTTGAAAATTGTATGTTACTACCGAATATGAGTACTGAAGCAGTTTTTCTGAAACCACGTGCACCATTCAAACTGCCTGCCTTCAACGTTCGCACACTTATGCAGGTCGGACAACAGATAGGGCTGGCTATGTCTTTGGAAAGTCTTAATATTGATGTGTGTTGTCTATCCGAGACCCGTATTCAAGACTGGTGAAGTACTACAAGTTCGCTCTCCATCTGTCGCTTCAAAAAGCTTGTTTTATGTGCGTTTATCCGGGGACCCTGTGGCATCTTCGTCTGGTCTTGCTGGCGTTGGTGTCGCGCTAAGCGCAAGAGCTGAGGCAGCACTAGTCGACTGGATCCCCATTAACAGTCGGTTATGTGCTGTTAGATTAGAAAGTTCCATCAAAGTGAGAAGAAATCGGCGTGAGAAACGATGTCTTTTCGTCATCTCCGTCTATGCCCCGACAGATTGCAGCCCGGATGCAATCAAGGACGAGTTCTACCACCAGCTAACTGTTCTTCTCCAGAAAGTGCGTTCGACAGATATTGTAGTACTAGCTGGAGACTTGAATGCTCAGGTCGGGCGTCTAGGCACAGAAGAGAGTCGTTTAGGTGACCGATGGGGACTCGTTGGTCGCAGGACAGATAACGGGGAACGTCTACTGCAACTATGCACTGACCACAACCTGTTTCTGGCTAGCACTAACTTTCGGCACAGTCATCGCCGATGTGCCACCTGGCGTCCTGCTTCTGCATCTCAAGCCTGGACTCAGATTGATCACATCGCGATCAGCTACCGCTGGCGTGGTTGTGTACAAGACTGCCGCTCCTTTTGGAGTACCTATATGGAATCTGATCATGCTCTGGTCTGCGCCAATCTGACCTTACTTTTCAGTGGACAACGAAGTGACCGCCACCACAAGATTGATGTTAGCAAGCTGGCTGCAACTTCTGTTGCTAGTATGTACCGAACCGAGCTAGCTTCTAGGCTAGCTACCATTCCACCGAAAAGTATAGATGAGCATTGGTTGCAATTGCATGACGCCATGAAAATGGCGGGTCAAGTCAGTTGTGGGTTTGCGAAACGTCCCGCTTACAAGCACTGGGTTTCTTCTGGTTCCTTACAACTGATCGAAGCCCGTCGGTCTACTCCGGGTGACCGTGAGTTTGACCACAGACAAAGGATGTTACGTAATGAAATCGGGCAAAGCTTGCGTAAGGACCGAGAAGCCTGGTGGTCGGAGCGTGCCAGTGAGTTGGAAGCAGCAGCTGCATCTGGTAATTACCGGAAGCTCTTCCAACTCGTCCGAGCCACTGGCAGCAAGAAGTCTGATCTGAGCGAAACAATCTGCGAGGATGACGGAACGCCAATCACTAACATCCATCGACGTCTTGGACGATGGGCAGAATTCTTTGAAGGGCAGTTCAACTGACCTGCTGCTCCGGCAACATCGGTCAGACTGTCCTGCCCTCCAAGGCCGGTGACGACTGATCCACCAAATGAGGCGGAAGTCCGCAAGGAACTCCAACTCTTGAAACGTTACAAATCACCGGGCCCAGACGACTTACCTCCGGCTTTTTTTAAAGATGGTGGTGATTTTTTGACTAAGGGACTGACGACGTTGTTTACAAAGGTCTGGAGTATATCAACGTCATGGAATGAGTCGATAGTTGTCCCTATCTTTAAAAAGGGTTCACGTTGTTCCTGTAACAACTATCGGGGGATAAGTCTACTTCCGATTGCGTCCAAGCTATTGGCTTCCGTCATACTTCGTAGGTTGTTCAGAACCCGAGAAGGATTGACTCGCGAGGAGCAGGCTGGGTTTCGTTCTGGTCGAGGATGTATTGATCATATCTTCACCCTCCGCCAAGTGTTAGAACACCGCCATACTTATCAAAGGCCAACAATCGTAGTGTTTCTTGATATCAGGGCTGCCTTCGATTCGTTGGACAGAACTGTTCTTTGGGATTGTCTATTGAAGAAGGGTGTGCCTGAGAAGTTTATTAACATCTTAAAAGCCCTATACACAAACACCTCAGGCAGAGTGAGGGCATACAACCACCTTTCTCCACTATTCCATTCGAGCAGTGGGGTTAGACAGGGTTGCCCAATCTCACCATTCCTCTTCAACTTTGCCATCGATGACATTCTGGAAACAGCTCTGACGGATGTAAGTAATGGTGGTGTGGATCTGTTGCCCGGAGAAAGACTTCTCGACCTTGAGTATGCGGATGATATTGTCTTACTGTGCGAGAATGCCCAAGCTATGCAATCCGCACTTAATCAGTTGGCAATCAGTGTCCGTAGGTATGGTATGTTCTTTGCACCTTCGAAGTGCAAAGTACTTCTACAAGACTGGCAGGATTCTAATCCTGTACTCACTCTGGATGGTGAGCAGATTGAAGTAGTCGAGAAGTTCGTGTATCTAGGTAGCTGCATAAGTGCTGGTGGTGGTGTGAGTGATGAGATCAATGCACGCATAGTGAAAGCCAGAGCGGCTTATGCCAATCTGGGCCATCTTTGGCGCCTTCGTGATGTTAGTCTGGCTGTAAAAGGTCGGATCTACAACGCGTCGGTGAGAGCAGTTTTGCTCTATGCTTGTGAAACCTGGCCTCTCCGAGTTGAGGATGTTAGACGACTCTCTGTGTTCGATCATCGTTGTCTCCGAAGGATTGCTGGCATCCAGTGGCAACACCATGTCAGTAATGCAGAGGTTCGGCATCGAGTGTTCGGTCACAGAGACGATAATGAAATGAATGTCGTCCCAGAGAATTCCACGTCGTGCATTATTTGCCGACTCTGGGACTGGTTGAAAAAAGCGGAAAGGTGGTCAGTATATGACATGGTGTCGTGGTATGAAAGCAAGCTGCAAAGGGCTAGCTTCTGTTGGTCCTTCACGACTCCGTGGCTGGGGTCCGAGAGACGGTGTAACGCAGTGGCTAGAGACGTTATCAGATATGGCTCAGAATAGAAGCCAGTGGCGATCCTGCTGTAACCTTTTACTTTCTTCATAAAAAGTGGTTGCATCTTCCTTAACTGAAAGATTTCTTCTGATTGTACCTTTTCGTTTTCCCCATCATTGTTCTCTCTCTTTCTTTTATAATTCCCCACGTTCATTACTTTTTTTTCTCTTTTCTCCTTCTCTTCAAATTATCATTGTTTTGTGTGGCGCATATATATTTGGTGCCCCCCTGTACCAATATTTATGTGTTCAAATAAATAAATAATAAATAAAACTATTTCAGGTACATCCAACTGACGAGTTTCAAATAAGGCGAAAAACATCCTAAATTTTGTTGTTAGTCACTGTCTAAATTTCCTAAAAATTTGTGGTTATGCTTTTAGCAATTTGACTTATTTGCTTTATAACAGTCTCATTATATGGGTAAATGCACCAAATCTCAGTCATGTACACTAAAAACAATTATTTGAATTATGGTTTAGTATTTTAGGCGCTTCATATCCACTATCCATTTCAATGGCTGTTAATTTATTTACTGCGTATCTGAAAAGTATTTTACAATTAAAAGTCACTATAATGATTTTAATAAATTAAATATATTCACTAATAATGACGCAGCAACTTCTCCTGTAGCTCTTCTAGGGACCAGACAATATACCAGCCGAAGCAATGATGTCAGACATAGAAGTAATTACAAACATGCTCCACGTTCTATTTAGGAAGATTTGGGAGAAGGAACAAATTCTGACAGACTAAAAAGTAGGATACCTCATGAAGATACCAAAGAAAGGAGATCTGAGCAAGTATGAGAATTCAGTTGCAGAGACATTTCACCACTATGAATACCGGTAAACGTTTTCAATAGAAAATTGTTGAACCAGATGAGAGACTCGGTAGACACCAAACTTCTAGATCAGCAGACCGGAATTCGAACTCAATGGGACTCAAAACAACTGTCAACCAATACCAAAGTCGAAATCTTTAATGCAAACATCAAGGCAGTTCTATTGTACGATGCTGAAAGTTGGAGAACTACAACTTATCAAAATGTACAAGTATTTATAAACCATTGTCTACAGAAGATATTGAATGTTCGTTGGTCGGATATCATCAGCAAAAACCTACTGTGGGAGAGAGCAAATCAGCTTCCAACTGAAAAAATCAGGAAAAGACGCTTTGCTGGGCAAACTATATATTGAGTAAATCATCAAACTGCATTACGAGCCAATCCCTAACTTGGAATCCTGAAGCGAAAATGAAAGGAGAAAGACCAAGAAACACATTACATCGGGAATTGGAGGCAGATATTAAAAGAATGGGTAGCAACTGGAAAAGATTGTCCAGGACAGAATTGGATGGAAAACCCTGTTGTGTAGTCTATGCTTCTCCACTAGGGACAATAGGCTTAATTGAGTAGGTAACGACGTAACATATCAAAAAAAAGCTTATTATCAGTCTGTCAGTAATATACCAAGTAAAACCGGATATATATGTGCATCGGTTCTAGTTGCTGTATTATATTAGCACAGCGATGTACATTTACTTCAAGAAAAATCCTAGAATAGTACGAGTAATAACATAGGTATAGAAAAAGAAAAAAAAACAGGTATAAGATTTCAGGACTAACGTTTTAAAGGAAGTTAAGAAGTGAATGCACCTGCTCCATTGCGAAGGATTCTAATCTATTCCACCCATAGTCTCTAACTATGAATTACAATGATCATGTGGACCCCAATCAGGTAATCACTTACCATCACATGGCTACGTTTTTCGTAGTTTTTCCTTCAATTTTACTGTTCATTTTATGTCTCCCTTAAATAATGTATTCGAATTTATTATCATAATTTATAAAACTTTCTATTTATAGATTTATGATAAGTATCGTAAGCTTTTATGGTTTACCATTGAAATATGTACTTCTTGCACTTTTGATTGTTGTTGGCATTTCATTGCTGATCCTTGTAATTGCATTCACTATTCATTTATGCCGATTTTGGCGTCGAATACGTCGTGGTCGTCTATCACGACGACATTTACGTCAATTAGTTTTAAAACGTTTTAAAAAAGGTAAGCTTCATTTTTGTTTATATATATATATATATATATATATATATATATATATATATATATATATATATATATATATATATATATATATATATATATATATATATATATATGTAAATTTAAGATAATTTATTTGATTGTTTTCAAAATCCAATAACTGGTCTATGTGATCCTATTACCAGGATGATATTCAAAAATTCAATCTCATATCGTGCATAATCATCATAGTTGGCTTGAAAATTTGCTCAACGGTCAACATTCAAACTACTAAATTGTCTTGAACTACTCTCCGAATTCGAATTAACCAAAACAAATAAGTACATCATGTAATTTATACCGTAAAATAATCCGTTTTCATTGACACATTGGTTAATTGCTTGAAATAAGTAGGTTGCGCATATCATACAAAAACGATATTTAGTAGTAAGTGAAAAAGGTACATCGTTTACATCTCAGTACTGTAGAACCTCATTACTTACTTACGCTTGTTACTCCCAATGGAGCATAGGCTGCCAACCAGCATTCTCCAACCCTTTCTGTCCTGGGCTATGTACCTAAATAAATGGTTGCTCTGGTTGTCAGAAGAGGCATCGGCCTCGTGACTTCCGAAGAAACTCGGCTTTCATCATGAGGCGTCATAATTCTTCTAAACGAAGACCCCCTGACTCCCAGGGCAGAGTTTAAATGGTTTGAGTTATTTTTTCTGGTTAGCGTTTTTTTAGCGAGTTAGTTTTCTACGGATGGAGTCGCTAACCCCATGCCCAACCCTCCTCCTTTATCCGGGCTTGGGACCGGCAGTAGCCCCCGGAAAGGGACTCCAGGCGGAGTTTGTAGAACCTCATACTAACTATTAACCATGTCAACTAGACTGTCTATTTTTCTGTTCGAATTCGATGTGTAACATAGCATGGTTGGGGTAATAAGAATATCAAATTGTTACTAAGTTGGGAAAAGTATAGTATTTGTTGAAAGCAGACTTGGACATTCAAAGAATCACACTTTTGATTAGTCATAGAGGCAAAGGGGCAGAAGGTAAGTCGAACAAGTCTCAGGTCATTAAAAGTTTTCTCCCTCTCTGATGCTTTCCTATATTGATATGTGCCTTTTTGGTGTGAGACCTTTTGTAACTCGCTCTTTTGTGGATAAATACCATAGACCTCTGCTCTTTGTTATGTATAAACTATACTTCATTCCTCAAACTGCATCACATCCGTAAATTGACATAAAATACTAATGTTGTGTAGTTATGGTTGTGCTTACTAAACATTAGCTTGTCTTACTTGACTTATAAGTGATTTAAGTTTGTTAAGCCACTGAATGGTTAGTTATCAACCATTCCGACTTCGGCTTGATCAACTGGGTAGTATCATTAGCCTTCATACTTTGAATGTGGCTCTTACCCAAATACCTAGTGGGTGAATTTATTTACATTGAAATTTTATGAAGCATCCTAAAACCTACAGTCTTCTTCAGTGTTACCCTAGTGATAACTACTAAGTAGTGTTAGTAGTAGTTGTAGTGGGATGAAGTGTTTGTATTTTTGTTGACGTATGTGCACGTGTAGCAGTTTGTTGTTGTTCTCATAGCGCATAATTCTGACACATTTTTATTGTCAAAAGCAAAGAAACCTTCTTTCCCATGCTATGTTATTGAATTTAAGTAGAATATATACTGTTTAATTCATTAATGAAACGTTAATGAACTATACTGTTTATTAATTATCATCTGTCTAAAATGTATTTTTATTCAAATATACTACTATCTTTTTCCCACGGTTTATTTATTTCCGAATAAACTAGGTCTGGATCCATATGATGTATGTTGTATATGTCTAGAGGACTATGTGGATCGAGATAAGCTACGCCTATTACCTTGTCAACACGGTACGTTTATGCATAGATATACAATATTTCGTTCATGTGATTCTGAGTTACTTTTTATTGTTTTTGCTTGTCTAGTACTTTTTTATTTTGTGAATTCATTCTTTCTTCTTAAATCATATTATCCATGTCCGATCTTTTCTACAACTACTAATTCCGTTACCATTTCTTACTACTACCCTAAGATTTGTCTTGATATGGCGTGACAACTCGGATATAAACATATATCCCAGGCTCTACGTTGTTTATGATTTACTGATTAATTAACTGACTAATACTGCTTAGATGAGGACTAGTGATACAATCCGTTTATGTAAACGGAAGCGGGTGAAGTCAGTATTCAAACTTTCGTTCTACCGTTGTGTCTCATAAGATAATAATATTATCACAAATTTACGCTGTAACGAAAATAAAGACTGATAAAAATGATTGAAAGTAGGTAATCCGTCATATTGGGCATATTTAGACATGTGTTCCTTTTTTTCCACTCTATATTATTTTGCAGATTAGTGGATCTACTATTTAGAAAATCTTACAAAACATTGTCAAATAGCATACTATCTTGAATAAAAGATGCTTCAAATGTACTAAATGTTTTCTAATAGTGACTATAGTAAATTTATAGGCTCCCTAAATTTTCTAGATATGACTACTGTTTCCATCTCGTTTGATTGCCGTATCTGTTTGTGGATAACCTTTATGAAACCTTCATTTCGAGTGATGTGTAGGAATCATTAACATTTCGTTCTTAAACTTGGAGAATTTCGGTATCTATGAATACAATTTCACTATTATGAAGCATTAATGATTTAACTCATCATTTCGATTATATATTGTAGACAGACATTTCGGTGAGACTATAATTTATGGGTGAAACAGTCAGATCTAAAACTGGATTTTGGCGTGGAATTCATCCGTGCATATAGCTACATTATTATTATAGTTGATGAATACCCTAATGCTAAATCCTTATCCCAACCTATAGCTTCAAATTCTAGTCTCGATTTCTCACACTAACTTATAACCCTGTTTCGATCGTAACAATTGGTTGAAGTTTCTCAAGAACACTTTAGTATCGCTCACAGGACTTCCATGACTTACAGTCTCGTCCATTTTTATTGTGATATGATAGCTAATTTCGAATTCAGCTTGCTTAGATATTCATTACCATCAATCCACAAACTATTGTATTAATATCTATCTGTCTATTAACAAAAACGATTTCTGGTTTTTAAGATGTAAAATGTATTTGTAAGACCAATGTGTAAAAATATCCAATTAGTTTTGACCCATTGGTGATTCTGCTTACGATCGTGCTCTATTTGTAGATGTTTTCAGAAGCCTTCCTTTTAAATTGATTATCGTAATAGGGAAAGGACAGCAAATGATTATTCTGGAAGCTTGAATTAGTCAAAACTAAATTGTTCCAGATGTTACTCATATTTTCTAATTCCATAATTGAAAACTTTTTATCACCAACCTAGATCATTTTGTGCATCTAAACCTGTATACTCAAGTTCTCAAATTATCGCCACAATATCTGTCAAGAACGTATGGTGATAGAATTCACGTATGTGCTTTCATTCAAGCTTCAGTCTGAGTTTAAATTGAAATAATGATACGGCGAGATTTTGGAGATAAGTATTAGTAGATTGGAAAAATAATCTAAGAAATTAAATTTTTAAAAATTCACGGTTATAAGGACAAATATATACATACTGGCTTCTCAGAGTCACTTTCCCAGCAACTGCAATATTCCCAAGAAAATAGTAGTTTCTGAAGTGGTTGCATGAACAATAAAACTTTCGTTTCTAAAGTTTATCGTTATACATATGTGAGAGGACTGTTAAAGATGTCATATTCGGTATAATTTGTCTATGTAATCAGGCTATTTATACAATAGTGTTTGTCAGTAAGGTATTTGATTGTGTATTGAGTGACCTAGTGGTGTTATAACATTCAACTTTGAACAAATAGTGGGTTGAAGTTTAGAACGTAATCACTAAATTTCGGTTCGGGATAGTGGGTGGTATCACTGGTTCTCATACAAAGCGTTTATGGTACTGTTGTATCTCGTTATTCATTACAGGCCTAGAATACTTACGGAATTAACGAATGGGTCATATAAAGAGAAATCGGAACATCTAATATGATCAGTACTCTTTGTAATTTATGATGACAACCAGAATACAGTACATCAGCATCTGACAGTCGAATAGAGGATGAACTGTAGGAAAACTTGATTTTTGAGGTACGGCAACCAATACAATACAAATTGGTTTAAATTCATAGATATGGTAAAGAAAACATGGCTTTCAGGCATACAGAAATTTTGCGAACTAAAAGCGATGTTAGAGTCATAAAAAAGTAAAGATCAAGCACAAAATTAAATTAGAAAGGAAGGGTACTTGAGGTTATCATTTCTAGTAAAATTTCAGCACCGTGAAACCGAACTTGAGAAATCTTTTGATCGTCTTAGCAGGTTAATTGCTGATTACATAAACTTGTACTTATATATATCACAAAGAGAGTATTGACTTCATTTTAGGCTTTTGCATTTTATTCGCATACATATTTTATTATGTTTTGGTGTCACTCTCCCTCGTTCAAATCATATGATTTAGTAGTAGTAGTTAGACATATAGCTGTACTCCGTAAATTATTATTCAAGTTTGCATAAGAAAATATAATATTTTTCCAATATAAAGTCTGCGACTTGAAAAATATGCAAGAGATAGTTGTCGATTTGTTTAATAGAAATAATTTAAAGTTTATTGTCTGGTGTTTTGTTTCTCTCTGTGTGTGTCTGCTTAGTACTTACTGTTCACTTAGTTGTTTGTTTCCATTTCATGTGATCAACACATTCATGTATTTTCCTCTATATATCCATAGAATGCTTAGTATCGATTAGTAGTAATCGATTTGTTGTGATTATAAGTTACGCTAAATAGCACTCCGAGTTCATTGAATATAATAATAATTCAAACAGAAGTTTGACTGTCAAACCTGTTACTTAATAAATGTAAATCAAGAAGTTAACGTCATAATTCAAGTTTATTGTTTAAGTAATCGTTTTCTGAAAATATACGATTGATATATTTAGTACGTAACGATAGCACATTTCTTTTCGCACGTGCTTTGCACCTTCTAAGTTTAAATTATTTTCACAAAACTGGTAGAACTTTGTGCCTGCACTCACTCTTGGTAATCGGCAGTTAGAAGTAGTTGAGAAGTTCTTGTATCTAGGTAGCTGTGTAAGTGCTGGTAGTGGAGTGAGTGGTGAGATCAGTTCACGTATAGTGAAAGCCATGGTGGCTTACACTGATCTGTGCCATCTTTGACGCTTTCGTGATACTAGTCTGGTTTTAAATGGTTGGATTTACAACGCATCATTGAGAGCTGTTTTGCTCTGATTTTGCTGATTTCTCTGAATTGACGACAGTTAAATTTGTTTCACCATCTTGAAACACCGACTTTGGTGTCTTGGACATGTCATACGAATAACGTCCCAGAGAATTCCACTCCGTTCATTATTTGCCAACAATATGACTGATTGGAAACAGCTGAGGGCTGGTAAGTGTATGACATAGTGTTATAGTATGAAAGTTATACAGGTCTGGGACCTGTTATTATTTTTATTTATTATTTGAACACGTTAGCATTGGTATAGGGACTGGGATACTGCTCGGGCGCCCAAACCGTAGCAGTTGTTCTCTTAGAGGGCTACACTCCGAGCCCTTAAACTAAAGGTCTGATTCACATGTGGGGTAAACAGAGAGATAAAGAAGCCATAACAAATAACAGAAGGTACTCTTGGGGACGTTATTTCGCTTAATTCAAAGTTTCTAAAATACTAAGATTTGGTTTTGTCCCTAGTTTATTCTATAAACCATAAGCTTTCGTTTTATGTATGATTTACTACCATACCCTTTTCTGTTCCAAAGCTATTGTAATTCAAACGTAACCTTTTGTATTCTATTTTTCAACCCTAATGCCCAGTTTGGACATAATTGCATTTTTCTAGTCGTTGGTTCTCTGTGGTTATGTTAGTCATCTATTTATTCATGTGTCTTACACTAATCTGAATTGGAATTGAGAATCGGGGATAAATCGAATAATATTCCAGTTGACTCGTCTCTCTCGCATTCTTGTCAACCTATCAGGTGGTAGAATAGTTTTCGTCTCTCTACCCAAGGTCATTAGTCTCAATTCGGACTCACGCATTTCTAGCCCCAAGGATAAACCAGTTAGCCTATTACGTCTAGTCCCTAACCTGTGTGGAGACAGGTTCTCTCCTGTATATTATTTGTTAGACAGATCAAGGACGTAACAAGGTGGTGGAGGAACATTAAGAGATGCGGTCCCGTGGTGGTCGGTGACCGAGAATAGGTTCATACCATATTTGTCCCTCCAGGATCCTATATGTATCATTATTGTGAAATCGGGGTCTTCCAACTCTAGATGGATCCTCTGTACCCACTACTAACCTTATCAAAGCGCCAGACATTCACTTTTCGTCCTCTCAGTTTCGCAAACAACACTCCTGTCACGAGAAGGAAGTGAGTAGGACTTCCCTGACATTAGCTGTCTACTCGTGGTCATATGAGAGCATTTTGAAAGGGAGACCTAACTCTCCTTAGCCTCAGTCGTATCAGGATATTTCGGGGTTCTCTCGGTTCTTCATTACTTTCTGGTTGGGGTCCTAGAGATTGTGCAACACAGTCGCTTAAAACGTTATTAGACATGGCTCAGAATGGAAGCCAGTGGTGATCCTACTGTAACTTTCTTTTACTTCCTTCATATAAGTGCGAGGTATTTCTTCAACTGAGAGAATGATTGTATTTTTCGTAACCGAATAATTCACTTTTACACTAATTCCTATTCATTTTGTTCTGTTTTTATTATACTCATCTTCGTTTCTCAATCTCGTTTCCTTATTGTGTGGCGCATATATATTTTGGTCCCCCTTTTTATCAATATGTGTCTAAATTAATAAAATAAAACATAATATGCGAAGTTTCTTAGAATGTCGTCAATTTCAGTCATTACTCTTAATCAACCCAAATAAAATGAAGAATATCCGTAAAAAGCGAGAACGTATATTAAGTTTTATGTACTGACTGTTCTTCCCTCCCATTCAACAGATATCAAAATACATAATTTTATAGTACTCAACAATATTGATTATTTTCTTTCTCCGTGATAACGCATGTAAGGAAAACTATATATACATGAACTTCGGCGACCAAAATCGATTTAAATGTTAAACTTATCAAACTCTTTTTAACGGAGACCTACTCACAGAAACCACGTTTCTATTTTTTCTTCAGCAATCCATTGAAGCTTGTGGTCGTAATTGTATTTTTATGTATCTAATGTAGCTGTAATTTAATCCATGATCGAACTAATGAGTAGCAATGATATGTAAACATTGTTTGAATGATCCAAGTATCTTTGACTTGTTTGTCAACTAACATAGAAGGTAGAAGCGTAAGCATTGTTATCTCACTTCATAAATGTGTATCGGATGACTGTGGGGTGATAACACAGACCATTGACCTGTTGTCAGCTAATCACAGTTTAGCTAGATCATTATTGTTGACTTGAAAAACTACACACTTCTGGCCTAACTTATGGAAAACATGACAACCTTTGTTTGAAATAGGTATCGTTTTGAGTTGTACGAAGCATTTCTTCGATTTGTAGTAAATCAATCCGGAGGATTGATAACTAAGTTGACCTTCAACTTTAAGGTCATTAGGCAGAGTGAATTTAAAAAGTACACATCAGGTAATGAAAATAAACAGAGTGAAGAAAAATTCGAAGACATTGAACATCTTATTCGTCAGAGTAAAGTTGTGGCGTGTTTTTATTTTCATACTTAATTTTTAACATGGGACTACAGATAGATATAAGATTGCATTTTATTTGTCACCTTCGTAGATACTAAATTCTACATGATATCACCTTTGTTGAATATCACTTCATGTAGAGATAGTTGTAATGTATATTTTAAATCTTTGCAGCTTTTCATATGAAATGTATTGATCCCTGGTTACTATGTAATCGTCGACGTTGTCCAATATGTAATCAGATAGTTGAATTACCCGGCGCACCTTCAACATCCGATGAAACTGAAACAGTAGAACCTAATAATAATAATGGTTTCTTACTATACATACCAAGAAGATTATTGAATCTCATTAGACGTCATCCTCATGAATCAATGAGTTCTAGACGCCATTCGGTAGAATCCGATCAATCTAATGAACATTATCAAATTGATGAAGAGCATACTCCGTTACTACAAACTGATGCTTGTAGCGATAATGTCATACATAATTCTCCCCTGATATCAAGACGCCCTGAAATTCATTCTTCATTACAAGTTGGTATGTTTAAGCGTACTTTTTTACATTCTATTTTATACTTGAAATGATAAGTGTTCTATTTTAGTTTACGTTAACATTATTTTCGTAACGTTTTGTATTGGAAGTCTTGTAGCTTGCATTGCATAGTAATTTTGTTCAGATAACTATTGAAGGCTATGGAAGACTGGACAGTTGTTTCGCCTAACTAGTATAAAACTCATCATCAGTGTATACCTACAACTCTGTCCAGGAGTAAACCTAAGACATTGCGATTTTGTAGCGAACTCGTCACTCTTTAACCACCAAGTTGATATCCAATAGTTTACAATTCCTTTTCCAGTCAATTCGTGATTATTTGAGGGTTATTTATCCCTACGTAGTAGGTTAAAACTTTAAGGAGATTTACTGCATATAATTGAAATTCTCATCCCTACAAAATTGGATACCTTCATTAATTAATAAATGCTTATTTATATTCTAGACATTGAGTTCAAATCACTTATGATGAAGCACAGTTAGGTATTTCCTCGAAGATTTATTGTATCTGCAGAAAAGCGTGCAATAAGTGTTAAACCGAACGTATCAATTGTATGATAAATATTATATTTTGCGCGTTTGACCACATATTAATACATCATTATTCACAAATCAGCATACTATATTCTCATGATAACCCAACGTCACGAAATCTCAATTAGTTGGAAATCGACGTCTATACTTTACACCTAAATCCATAGTACGTCTGCAAGACTGATAAGATCCTGTCCTTGCATTCACTTTCTGTGCTGAACCTCTGAAAATAGTTTTGAAATTTTTATATCTTATAGTTTTGTCAGTCCTTGTGATGTCTTGACTGCTGAAGTCAGAATAGCTCATTTCAATGAGTCACTTTTCTCACTTTCATTATGTTAGCCTGGCTGTAAAATGTCGGGTTTACAGCGCGTCACTGTGAGCAGTTCTGCTCTGTACTGAGAGCGTTTAATGGTTGGGTTCACTCACCATCGTCTCCGGAGAGACGGTTCCATTGGTCGGTAATATCATCTGAGGTTCAGTAGTGTGTTTGGACGCGCTGTATTAGGAAGGTCGCTGCACTCGCTTTCATACTGTACATTAGTTGCTAGCTCTAGGATTGTGTGGAAAAAGTGAGAAGGTGGTCAGTTTATCACCTGGCGTTGCAGTATGAAAGATGTATCTTACATAACAGATTAATTTTCGTTGATTCTCCAAATTAATCAACTAATTCCATTATAAATTATGAATAAATGATCATTCTGTATCGCTAAAGATAATATATTTTTAATATCCTAATGAGTAGTAGATATTACAATGACATTATGTTATTTATAGAAATCTACCCAATGTTCAATTTATTTGAAATTATCAAGTCAAACATTGGTAATGACACAAAACCATTCCGTATGTTATTTCAAGTATTTTAAATTTTTTTTAGATGAAGATGATGAAATGTTACGTTCAGATTTAGTTGATCTAAAACAATCATCTGGTCGATCAAGTTCAAGTCCACCGGCTATTGAATCTTTGAATACTTGTAATGATTTAAATAATGATCCTTTCAATATATTCCCATCAACATCATCATCACATTTAATTCAACAAAAGTTATCTCCAAATTCATTAGCATCATCTATTGAATCAAAACGAAATACGCTTGAATTACCTCAAATGGACATCACAGTTACATCAACTATATTACCAACTACATCAGAGATGAAAACTGAAGATACAGGAGATGATGTATTAATCACTGATGTCAATGTAAAAACCGTATAAAAAATTATTCATATTTATTTGGATTAAATGGTATTCTACAAAATTTGATAATAATGAGATTTATAATAACCACTTTATTATTGTATCCAAGTGAATACTCATACAGTATATATATATACATAACAGTAATCTTTGTTATTTAACATGTTTTCTTGATTTCCAGTTATTTTCATTGAAATAAGTGTGCATATTAATAAACTATTACTTGATCGTAATAATAGCAAGAGTAATTGTTTATATTATTTCTAACTGTTCTAACTAAAGATATACTTATTATTATTATTATTATTATTATTATTATTATTACGCTATTTCAAATAGATTAAAAAGGCAACAATATTGTGTTCATGTTCACATCAATTAATTAAACGTAACTACTTTAGTTCTTCCTGCCAATTTGTATGTATGTCTGTGTGTGTATGTATGTATGTATACGTCATACAAAATTAATTTCATACAGAAGGAAATCTTATTTTATTAAGTTTCCCTGTAATAATAATAATCATCATAACTACTCCCGTCAGATTCTTTTCGCTCTGATGTTTTTTTTTGTTAATTCTCGTTTCTTTTTTTTTAATCAATTACATTCAGCGTTTCTCTCTTAGTTACTATTATTATCATATATTTTTTGCAAAAACAAAGAATTATTTTTGGGCTGTGTTGTATTTTAATTAATAATTATTATCATTGAATTAAAACGAAATATTTTTCACATTTCCCATGTATATGATTTAGTTCACTATCACAAATATGTGCAGTAGAAAGGGAGAGAGAGAAAAGGAAAGATTAAGGAGTGTAATACACAGAGAGACAGGAGAATATTCATTGAAACACAATTGATTTATTATCATAGTTTCATTTCGCTAAAGAAAAACAATACGAATCAAACTGATCACTTTGTCTCACAATCAGACGTTTATTCTCTCTTCAGTTCGTTTTCGTTTTTTTCATCATCATTTCTTTCTGTCCTTTTTTGTATACTTATGTATACGAAATAAATTTTTGTGTAATCTTTACGTAGATTTGTTTTTATTTATTTATAGCTATTTGTACTCTTTCAACAATATTAGTTATCTGAAGGGGTTTTGTGGAGATTGTAGTAATTTCAGTAGTTGAGATCATGAGTCAATTGAAGCTAGATCACCATGGAAAACCTGGAAGCACTGGATGGCCGTTTCGTTTTATTGTGGGATTCCTCAGCAGTGCTCATCTCTGAAAAATTCCCATCATATTAAAACACAGGTATATGAACGAAGAATATTTTATTCAATAAATTTTCTTCAGATTCTACAATTATATATTCAAATTAATAATTCGAAAAGTGGCCAGGTTTGAGGCTAAATACATCATTTGAAACTGTAGGATGGGAATTTAGGATTGTTTGTAGTGTGAAATAAAATAATAATGACTAATTTAACGTGTTAGTAGCAATCTGCTCAAACCCTTCAGACGGCTCCTGCTTCGGTTTGGGCACCTGGGCAGTATCCCACTCCTCACCTAAATCGAATGATTTATGTGGCGCATATCTATTTGGTGCTTCCTTGTATCAATGTTTGTGTGTGTATTTAAATAAATAAATAAACTTCAGACGGTTGAAGCAATAGCTATTCGGATGAAAACGTTGCAGGTTTGTGTCCAGAAGAAATATGTTCAACCGCTTGTTTAACCTTGGCCAACTTGTAACCTAATTAATCTATAGCAGCTTTCGTGCAATTGATTTTGTTCATATTTAATTTGGTTAAGCCCTTTTGTTTACTTATTTAACGGAGAGTCATTCATACAATAGCCATTTATCTACATCACTGTACCTTTATTATTGTTGCACTTGTATGAATATGTATGCTTGAGCATTGCTTACTGCATACGCATATATTCATTCTGCTAGCATTACTGTTAGTTGCTTAATTGATTCGATGATTTATTCATATATATATGCACATTTTAATCCTGCTCACTCGCTCGCTTATTCAACTCGCACCCCCACCCGCTTGCTTTTCGACACCACTCATGCTTGCTTAGCGTACCTGTAACTTTAGTGATCTGTGGGTGGTCGAATAATAAACTCAATCAACACTTCGTATTCGCCTTCTAATTAATAAACCGTTCGGGCATTATTTAGTGACGGTTATGAGGACGAACTGTATACAAAGTTTAAGGATTATGTTGAATACCGACCACCACAAATCAGTGGTCATTCGATAAAATGTAGACGTAGTTCGATTAATGTTTATACAACCTTCATCCTTACATCTTCATAACAAATTTATCTTAGTCACACATCACTATTATGATTATGATTATTATTATTATCACCATCCTTTTCATTATAATTACTACACTTTCAAACGCTTTGAGTAATTTAGTCAGCATCCATCCCTATTTACTAATTTGTACCTAATTCATATTATTTTACATATTACATAATTCCTGATTTGTACTCACATTATTATTCGTTTCTTCTCATGTTGACTATGGTTATTCTGATCATTTATCTCAGAATTTCATTCAACTTAGAAACTTATTCAAGTCAACACTTCATAATAGTCATCTCAATACTAACGATTTCACTTTATTTCATCTTACAAACAATCCTAAATTCACATACTACAGTTTTAAACGATGCATTTTACCTCAAACCTGGCCACTTGCTATTAATTTGGATATATCAATGTATAACCTGAAGAGAACGTATTGAAAAGAGTTTCAGTTATGTTGAATGAATTTTTATTCAACCCCATGTACGTAAGTCAATCACAAACTGCATGGCACGTGGCACAAATATCTATCGAGCCAAGTTGCCACACCACATTAGTACAGTAAGATGGAATTATCAAAATAAATATAATTCAAAAAGAAATGATTTCGCAAAGTAAAATATTCAAAAAAGTGAATGGATATACCTTATTATGAGCAATTTTGAGCTCCATCATCCACTGTCTCCAACCATTCATCGCAATAGTCTCACAAACCCTAACCAGTTACTGTTGACCTACCAACATGGCTCAAACTAACAGTCAGTAAATCCATATATTGATACCACATCTTTATTTGGCCCCTCGTGGCTTTCCTCGAACCTACGCTAGCTAACATTGTGTGACGAGGGATTCACATCATATCATCAGATCTTATTTGTCCGTATACATAGTCTTGATCTGAATACCTAGGTTGGTGTATTTATAAATCAAGGGTCTGGGGTGAACATGTTGCCTTTAAAACCTGAATTTAATCTCATGTAAAGTTGTAAACATGAACTATTAAGGAATCCATAACTAGTTGGTAAGCGTTTAATATCATCATTGCATTATTACTTGTTTAGTGTTCAGACCGTGGAAATATGGGCTTCTTTTAAAGAACTCTAACAATTAATTGATACATTATTTTAATTTCATTCTACCCATGAAATAGATCATGATAGGTAGAATTTATGAAGTATTCAGTGCTGCTTCCTAATGTCTTTTCATTGTTTCCAAGAGTTCCATTTTTGTCTAGTTTATTCAACTTGACATAATTGCAGGTAGTTTTTAACTTCACTAAATCAATTTATGTCGGTAGCTAAAGGGTTTATATTCTCTTAGCTGTAAATTGGTCAGCTTCCATACGGGTTCCTTGTATGTATAAAGCACTAACACTTCAAGCCATGGATTCTGGGTCTCAAACCAGTTACAACGTTCTTCTTGAATTATGTTACTCGGTTTGGAGTCACACTTTAATTGTGTAGGCTAGTGATGAAACTTGATTGCTCAAACCGATGTTGGAGTAGCTTCCCACGAATCTAACTTAGTATACAGAATTCGAAAACATTAACCGCCAAGTCATCACTATAACTATTAGTAATTAAACTGACCTGTTTCTAGTTAGTCAGTTGATAAAAGTAATGGTAAAATTACTTATGAAGCTTGAATAGTCAGCATAGTTTGAGTTACTTTCAAAATTATTGGTATTTTTTCCACAAAACGTGCTTGAGAAAATACGTTATCATTTCATAAGATATGCTTTTTTCGTGACTTGTGATGGTTGAGAAACTATTCCTCCAAGTTTGTGTTTTTTTCTTTGTATAATGTTCATATTTGTAATGAAGGTTTTTAATTAATTGTTTTAGAAGTAAATACTCAAGTGTTTTCTTCGTTAGCTTGGTAAACAATATTACTTGTAATGAACTTTGTAAATTTGGTTACTGATATATTTGTTAGTAGGTAAATCATTTTATGCAAATAAATTTGGTAAGATTGATATGTTCTAAACACACTGGGTGAGTTTATCATTCTTGCCGATTATTAAGGTTACTGATATAAGTTACAGCGGCTGAATAATTTTAAATATCTTGGTAAAATTAAATAGTCGTGTTAACTGTTTCACATATTTTGGAGGCAATTTTCATCAGGAATTGATTCAACTAGTAGAGTTTTAGAAAGTACTGAACATGAATTCTAGTACTAGTTTGAGATGCCAATAGCACTGAGTACTCTCTAAAAACCACTTGATAGTATTAAAGTCATTAGGAATCCTTGATTTTACTAACCACTGAGTCATTAACTGATGTTTCTTCATTTCTTAACTCATCCGTTTGTTTTACGATGCAATGAAACTAAAATTAAGATGCACCTACACCCAACTGACGAACTCGAAGTATTGCAAAACATGCTTTTTGGATTATATTGCTGAGCACATTTTAAATATATTTCAAAAACTTTTTAATATAGGATAATATTGATGTACACATTCAGGATGCACATAATTCAATAGAGCTTAGTCAATTTAGACTTGAATATGAATGATGGTAAGGCATACATTTTTACTAGTGCATATAAATGTTATTGAAACTTTGAAAATGAAAAATCCACAGAGTTACTGGTAATGATTTAGTGCTTTTAAAGATTTTTCGATAAAATCCATATTTATTTAAACACAAACATTGGTACAAGGAGGCACCAAATATTTATGCACCACACAAATCATTTGATTTGTGTTATGGCTGGAATACTACCCAAGATCCCAAACCGAAGCAGGTGGTTTTCTTAGGGGCCAGTCCTCCGAGCCTTTTACCCAAAGGTCTAATCCACAAGACAGTGGATCAACCTTGAGAGATGCGATCCCATGTTAGCCAGTGGCCAACAATAGATTCACAAAGCCATTCGTTCCCTCAGGATCCTAGAGCTCATGTGCACTATTGGTTTGGAATCAGGGTTTGCCAACCCCCCTAAGTGGATCTGCTGTGCCCACCACCAACCCGGTTAAAGCGTGGAACATCCGCTCTTTGTCCTCTCAATTTCGTTAAATAACAACCCGCCACGAGAAGGCAGTGAGTAGGACTTCCCTGACATTTGCTGTGTACGCGTGGCCATATGATAGCATTTCGAGGAGAGCTAGTTCTCCCCACCCTCGGCCGTACTAGGGCGTTTGGGGACCAATATCCAGGAGTTGATGTATTTATTCTTTATTCCTAATCCCAAATTATTATTAGTCTTATGCTTTTTATCTGATGCGTCAAAAGTTTTGAATTCACTGATAGTCGTATAGAAACTTTGATTTGCGAAACTGAACTAATTTTGAAAGGAAATCTTTGTTTTTTAGAACGTGTACAATTATGGAAATCCAAGGTGCACTAGATAGCTGTTTTATCTTGCTACCATCATTCTCTGCAGTGTACAGCCATAACAATTTTAGGGATCAGTGTTTAAGAGTCGCAGATATGTAAAACTATTCAAAAGTCAGTGTTACAATCGTCGTGTGCACCAGATCTAACACTAACGTATCTGCAATTATGAACGATTTAGGCTTTTAATCTCCATTTTTAATTTTTTCTCGTTGTTTACTCAAGTTCAACTATGAATATTATCTTATTCCGAAATAATGCGAAATGGATTCCAATTATTTTGTTTCGTTTTCTCAAATCACTGTTGACTGGTAGAGAATTTAACTAACTATTTGAGATTTCCTTTTAAGTAATTAATTATGTCATTACAATGATTATTATTATTCTCGACACGGTTGAACTTCACTAGTCACGGCTTCTCA